CTGGCACACATTCCAGTACAACAGTGCTGTTGCCATCCATGTGGATTTTGCAACAAACAATGTTTGTTATAAGTTTCAGATGTTCAAGAATTTGCACTATTGTTTATGTATCAGATAAATGCTGATTGTTTAGAGTCATATCACATGAATGTAAGTGTTCTGTAGAGGAGGGCAGGAAGGAGCACTCATCATTGTGTTACATTTTTGCTTATAGATCGAGGTGCCTATCGTGGACTAGAAATCCTCTCTCCATCCAGGAAGGAGCAGTTTGAGGATGAAGGTAGGAAAACATTCCCCAATAAAACCACAGCGCTATTGTAGTCCTGCTAATACTGTACAACACTTCCTCTATTGACACCTACACCTCACCTACTGTATGTGTTTTCATTATAAGCACAGATATCTGAATTGTTGAGTCATGGTCTATTTTGGACTTGGAACTACCAACAGGGATCCTTTAAAATCAGTGAGCTACTCACAGCCCACAACTTTTGGACTAGCATCCTACTGAAGTCATGACATGCACTGCTAACCTAGAAGACAGCAAATTTCAAGCCAAGCCATTTAGTAGATGTAGAGACATTTCACTAAGGCATCTGTAAACTTAGCAGGACTCACTGTCTAAGAACCATAAATATCTGCATCAAATTTTGTGTCAATTCACTTGACAGCTCTTGAACTATCTTTCTGGATAAGTGAAGATCTGGATCTGTTTGTGGAGTTAAATGAAAGCACAGCAGAGCATCAAAGTCCATCAAATTCTCTGTGGATAGTGAAAAAAGAATGTGTGAGATATTCTGGACTGGGGCCACGCACATTCCTACAAACTCCTAGAAATATAACAAGCTGCTTTTTATTTCAATATTGTTACTGTTATTAATCCTCATTGTCCATGCTATTGTTTTGAATATGTCACACCAGTTTAACAGAGAATATAACCTACTCCCCTCCCTTTTTCCCCTTTCCTCTTTCTTTCTAACTCTATACTGATTTGTTAATTTCATTTATTTTTGTTTTATGAACATGCGTATACATATATATCTGGGTACACATAAATATGTGTATGCAAAAGTTTCTATTATATTTATATGATTGAAATTGCTTTTTTGTCTTTTATTGTTATTATTCCATTAACAATAATAACAATAATATTACAAAATAAATATTTGTTATCTTACACAGCCTTATGCTGGTTTACTGTTTACTTGCCCCTTGCATGGGGATATGTACATACATATTGAGAGCCAATGTATCAGAGTCAAATTCCTCGTGTGTCAGACACACCTGGCCAATAAAATCATCCATTTTCTATCAAACTGTCTTATTTACCCATTCATCTTTCTCTACCATTAACAAACCAGGAGTTGTATTAGGGGATGCTCCGCCCTGTTCCCTGCAGGCGGGGCATGCAATTTGGGGTCACCCTTGGGGGTTTCTCTGGGGGGCACAGTATAGGGGAGGAAGGCCAGGTCACTGTTTCCTTTCCCAGTGCTGCCAGAGTTCAAATGGCTTCAAAGCCATTCTGTCCACACATAGCAGGACAAAATAAAATAAATGAGGATCTGCTGAGTGTCTCACTCAGTAAAACCCATACTGTGTAGGTTAAGTCTCTTATAAAATACATCTTGTTCTGTCTACCAGGCTCTGAGAGCAAGTTGAACTGTTCGGTTTTCTGTGGGACTAACATCCAGCAGGACTGTAGTGCTAGCTGGCATGTTAATGGAGTCCCTTTCAACTGGACGCATGGATACAATCAAACCACCAAAACGTAAGTCCGATCAAAAGCAGAACTGCACTAATTAAACTAAAAACGACACAACCTACTGTACCAAGTCTAATATGTGAAATGCACAAGCATTTATAAAACTGTCACTACAAAATGTAACTGTTAGTTTGTATAGTGTTATTACACATTTGTAAACATGCGTTATATTGATACATTATACATCACGCATCTGTTTAAACATGTGCACTGAAAGTACAACTGAATCAGATGAAATGTCATTTGTTTTCTGGTATTTTATCAGAACCAAAGTACTGAACAAACAGAAATGTTATAGTTGATGATGAAGCACAATAAAAGGCCACTGAGTTACTACAGTATGTCCTATGGTGAACATGAGCATCATGACTGTGCAAAATTGTAAGTGTCCAATTCATCTGGTAGTGTTGAACCAAAACTTTCAGCTGGTTGGTTAGGAAAGGTAAGGCAGTCAACAAAGTCAGTGGGATGTATTATCTAGAAACCATAAATAGACTGCACCAAATTCTGTTCTAATTATGTCTGGCATATGTCAAGATATTTATCAAGATGTTATAATGATGTTTAAAGATGTTATGATAAATGAACTTTTGGGCACTAGGGGAAAATCATTCAAATGGATTGTCAGTTTAAAATCCATTCAATATTTGTGGCCCATTCAGCACTGACATCTCCACAGCTGTTAACATGTCTAAAAACTTTTCTACAACTGTAAAATATTTTGAGTTTTTTGTGTTGATTTCATGGTTGGCTTCTGCAGTGAACCACTTCACTCTCTGTAATAAACAATGTTAACTTTTCTCCTTTAATGACCCAAAGTCTGTGTCCTTTGTTAGAGTCACGGAGAAACCCTCCCTCAGC